TTATAAAAAATTATAAATACTACTAATAAGTAATTGGCAGACAGAATTATTACAAAGTTATTCCTAAAATTTTTATTTTTTTAAATTTAAAATATGTCCAATCTACATACATTTTTTTTCTAAAACACATATTTTTGCTCAAGATGTTAGAAAATTATACTTTACAACTTAAAAGAATTTTAAAAAAAAAAAAAACTAGATTAAATTGTTTTAGTTTTTTTTTCAAAATAAATTTGAAAAATATTAATATGTATTACTTTTGCAAAATAAGCATGCAAAAGTATTCAATTTAACAAAGTTTAAAAAACTAAAACTCTGTTACAAATTAAATATTGTCTCTTTTTGCAACATGTACGCATATACATATTTCTTTATTGATATAAAGAACGTAACAACTGAGTTTTGTTTCCTAAATTGAGGTTTTACTAAAAATGAAATTCTATATTTGGTAAGTGAATTAAAAACAATAAAAAACTCTTTTAAACATTTAAAAGAACAAGCTCTTGTAGTTTGTCTATTTTAATTAAAGACTGGTCTTGAACAAAATTAAATTGGTTGTTATTTGCTTTGTCGTGTCAGTTGAAAGTTCAGAAATATTGCCATCAGATTAGAGCCTTTCTTAATGCTGGTTTTGATTAAAAAGTTGAACAGCAAGTAATTATAGCCAATAATACTTATTTATTCTTTGAAAAACGTCTACTTGGATTATTGTTTATTACTGACCTTTCATGGAAACCATATATACAATCGATTGCTAAATTAGCATCCACTAAGGCTGCTTCTCTTTATTGTGGTTGCCATTTTCTCTCTCCTTATTCCATTCTCTACCTCTACAAATCTCTTATTCATCCCTGTATGGAACACTGTTGTCATATTTTTGCTGGTTCTTCTAATGATTTTTTTCTCTTCTAGACAAGGTCCAAAAATGCATTGGATCCTCTATCTGCTAAGCTTGAGTCTCTTTCATATCATCGTAAAGTTGCATCTCTTTCTCTTTTTTACAAATACTATCATGGTTTCTGCTCAAAGGAGCTATCATCTCAAGTTCCATTAAATAAAACTCATTCTCGCTTGACTCGCCATTTAGCTCATTCTTTCTGCATTCAAGTTTCATTCTTTTACTGTATCTGTCCCTGCATGCTCTAAAAACCTTTATTTGTCTTATACTTCAACCCTTTGGAACTCTCTCCCATCTTTGTGTTTTCCTGATTCATACAATCTTTAACTTTTTAAATCTTCTGTTTCCTTGCTCTATAACTTTATTCTTTTTTTCTAGTAACTCCCAACTTAGTAGTGGTTGCTTGCAGCCTTGTTGGGAGTGAATCAAAAGTGAAAAAAAAAGTTCAAATAATTCTTTACAACAAAATCTGTGCAGTGGACAAAGAAACAAACATTTCTTTTGTAGTATGCGCTGCAAATGGTTTTATTAGTGACATTTATGCTGCAACTATTAATGGCACAATTGTATTAAATGATATTTTAAAAACAAAAAGCAGTTTAAGAGAACTAGTTCAGTCAAACAATTTATTAGTTTTAGTTAGAGATATCGTTAATGAATTGAAAACTACATATTAAGTATTTACCAAGGTGCCAACTTGTTCTGAAAATCAGTGAACTAGTTTATAAGATAACCATACTAGGTTTGTTAGAAAATCCAAACGGGTTGTTGAGGCTCAAATAATTGCAATATCTTTAGGGACATTTAAACAATCTTTTAAATATATAGAAAAATAAGGAATGCAATGTTTCCTCATATCATGATTGATATTAGAATAGCTGCTTATTTGATTACCTGTTTTCATTTAAAATATACATTCGATAAAAATAGACAGTAAAGATGTTGCAATTAGAATGAAAAATAAAATTAATTAAAAAAAAAATTGGAATCATACATTTTGTATACAAAAAGCAAAAGTAAAAGGGAATTTGATCCAATCAACACATTAAAAACGATTTCCTAAAGTTTTCTATTGATGATATGCAAAAATACATCACATTTGGTAGCTATCAGATAAAGCAAAGTTACAGATACCAAATAGAACATTTAAATAAAAATGGGAAATATATTATTTTGATTGATAAAAATATGCAGCAAATTCAAAATTATAAGTTAATTTCTGCTGAAATACAGTCAATGCAAATCTGAAAAAGAAATATTAGAACAGTATAAAGCATTGAAACGAGATTTGTCAATAAGCTTCACACAGCGACTATCTCTAATAAAACAAAATCTAATGTAGATTTGAGTATAAATAATTCTGAATTAAGCATTTCACAAATTAATTAGAAATCTGCAAAAAAAAGATTAATGAATTTTAGATTGTTTTCAAAGCATTTACTGAAATAGAGTCGTTGTATTTTGTTAAATAAAGATGATTTTAAAATAGATACAGATTATTTTTTACTGTATCAATTATAATAATGTATTATCATTCAAAAAACTTGCACAATTGATTTTATTGGCTATTTGGTTCTCATCTTTATTGTCAAAATATATACGTGTATTACAAGAGAACAAACAAAATATAAAAATCATATACTTGACATACTTTCTCTTATTGAAAAATGTGAGTGAGAGTAAAAAACTACATGGATTCTTCTTGTTATGAGATTAAAACCAAATGATTCATTAACTTTTAGTAATCTTGATGCAGAATGCGTTTAGTAATTTTTTATTAGATTTTCAGACAATTCAATTTAATTGCCCAACTTATAAGAAAACTATTTTGTTCAAACATCAATGAGTATATCTTGATTAAAAACGCAGTAAAAATAACATTTAAATATTAAGTTGAATTATGTAAAATCTGTCTTAATAATTCTACTGCAAAGTTTTTATATCATTCATTTTGTTTATTTGTTGAGGTGTTTTAAGAAGATGAAGATGAACTAAGTATAAATGATATCCCATTATCATTTATAATTGAAAAACGTGTTTTCAATTTTATATGCTGCACAATATCTAATAACGGTACAAACTACTATAAATCAATATTATTATTAAATTGTGAACTTTATTTACTAGATGATTTAAGCAATTCAATCATAAAAAAACAACAAAAAATGTAAAAACTATTTTTTATTATTTGACTTATATATATATAAATATAACAATTTTTCTTGTTTTTAATGTCATTTTAATAAACTAACGTAATATATATATTTATTAGGGTGGAGCGATTTTTAAAATTTTTGAAATTTGATTTGCCTGAGCTGCTAATCGATGTCTTTTGGTGAAAAAAGAACCTTACTTTTTTTTTTTTTTAATTTAAATGAGTTTTAGAGGTTCCTCTTTGGATTCTAAATTTATGACGGATCCTAATATTGTTGAAATTTTTTTTTTTCTAAACTATATCAACCTGGTATTCAAAAGAAGCAGAATAATACGCTTATTTTGAGTATAATTTTTGTTTTAATTCGAAACTAAAAAGAAAAAAATAATGTCGTTTTTTTATTAAAAAACCCCTGTCTTCATCAAAACGGTTTTTAAGGTATATTTTTGCAAATATTTTTTTCACTAAAAATTTTTTAAAAATAAAATTGTTATTGATAAAACAAGCATTTTTTTTCTGCTTTTTTTTGAGTCCAAGGTTGATATAGCCAAGCTGATTGGGTCTAGATTTTTGGATAGATAATACGTAATGCACCAACAATACGTATCGTGGGTTTAAAAATCTAAACACGATCGGCTCGGCGCGGATATGGGCCTAAAGACATCAAAGTAGGACATACTGCTTTAAAATAATATTTTTTGACTATATTTTTTAGTGACACATATATCTATAGTAGGATTATTACATTATTAGTTGGGCTGATATTTAAAATTTAGGCTCCTTTGTTATTTAAAGTGATATTTAAGTATTGCATTACTGTTGTTATGTGAATAGTTTATCTGCAATCTGTTATCACTCAGAATATAACGAAGATTTTGAATAATGCTTTTGAAAATGTTATAAATTTTTTTTTTTAATTTTCATTTTATTTAGGATGCATCTTATTTTATTTGTTGCGGAAAGGGCATGCAGATGTTAACAGCAGTTGGCCTGACAGTGTCCACGACAGTTTTTATTGCAATATACGGTTGCTCTTTCAAAACAGATATGCGTGTAGTGATAGCAATTTACCTGCTCATCTTAAACATTTTAACAGCGTTGGTATTTTGGTTTGATAAATATTGCGCCAAAAATAATCGATGGAGAGTTGCCGAAAATGTTTTGCTTTGGCTAACATTTTATGGCAGTCCTATTGGTGCATTGTTGGGAATGTACTGTGTTTGTTGTTTGCACAAAACAAATAAAAAGACATTTTCTTCCCTTGCTATCATTTTAATGATGCTTAATTTATTTTGGGTAGCAATTTACTTCATAACACATAAGCCCATGTCACTTCAATGCGCATAAGTTCGTGTCAAAATGTTTCACTGCACATGTCCAAATTGTACATAAACCTTCACATAAAATTGCACATAAATCTTCACTGTACTTAAGTCCATGTCAAAATAATACTAGTACTAGTTTTTTTTTTAATTGTGATGAATTAAATCTAGGCGGTGTCTTGCGTGAATAATTGTTTATAACATAGTTAATTCACAAATCACTGCTAAAATAAGGACAAACAAATAGAACATTAAAATAAAAAAAATAACGTTTGATTATATATATATATATATATATATATATATATATATATATATATATATATATATATATATATATATATATATATATATATATATATATATATATATATATATATATATATATATATATATATATATATATATATATATATATATATATATATGTAGGATTATTTATGTAGGCATATATTAATGATTAAAATAATTTCTTTGTCTGTTTGTAATTGCGTTGTTCGTAGGAAAAATTGACGGTACCTGAAATTTTACAGTAAACTGCTGTTTGCGTGGTAGAGTTTGCGATGCAATGGTACAAATTCCTGTATATTATTTCTGGTATACTGCTTTTAAACCTAACACTTTGCTATATGAACCATACTGTAATTTATTTTATTTAAAAAGAATGTTGATTTGTTATTGTTTATAGAAAATCAACAAAAGCAAGCATAGCAGTTAAATATTTGTGGTCAATTTTTTTTAATGCTGGAAATGAATCTGATAGCGTTGATAATATTTAATGTGAAAAACACAGTCCCGGAATGTCCTGAGTTTTCATGTTTCCTCGTTGTTGTTTTTATTGTAATAAAATTAAAGTTATAAATATTGCGATGGCATCATTATAATTATAATTAGTCCAGTTAATGCTTAATGCCGTTAGTAACGATTCTGTAAAATTTCTCAAAACTTTTTTATTTCTAAACTGCACGCTTCATGATTTTATCCTATCAATGAAACTTTAACATTTAATGTTTAACATCATTTTTCTGCTTTTTGTATAATAGATCTTTTTCTAAACGCGTTGTTGGAGAAAAACCACGATTTGATTTTGTTTAAAAAAGCCCTCAAGTTTTTAACTTTCAAAAGTCTGTGTGACTTTATTTATAAAACATTTGTATTCTTGTTTTAAAGTTTTTACATTTGGCCACTTTGAATTGCAAAGTTGTTTCCCGTCCTAACAAAAAATGGTAAAGCATGCGGGCGGGCGGCAAAATTCCATTATCCATTATTTCATTATTTATTTATTTTTACATTTTTTTTATAGATGTAAACAGTTAGGTTCTAGGGTTATTTTCCGACCAGTGCACAATGGGCCGGATATTAGACATATGCTAAACAAAATTGTTCTGCTCTTTTTTTTCATTACTAAATCTAAATGCCCTAACAAGCACTTTGTATTAAGATATCTTTAATTTTATTATAAATTTTCGTTGAATATTTGCTAATACTAAAAATTATTAATCAAACTTAAAAAAGTGGATTTATTATGATGTAGATACCTAAAAAATATATAGTCAAGAAGGTTTTTAAAATGAACATAACTGACTCATGTCATTTATACTTATAGAGGTCAGGATTAAAAATTAGGTCCTTGGCCTTGACTTTACACCACATGCTTTTGAATTATAATTTTTCTTGACTATTTTATAAACATAGTCATTTCATAATTTCTTCAACTAAAACTACAATTGACCTCTAGCATGTGGTGCAAATTTTAAACGATGTTTTATTACAAAATAAAACATCTCTAAGACCTTGTAAAAAAAAAAAAAGAATATATTTGAAACGTCTTTCTTGCTCTTCTCAACATAAAAATAACAAAGAAATAAAAGTATTATTGTAATAATCTCTATAAAATATGATTATAGTCTATATAACTAATACTGTAATTTAATAATGGTCACAAAAAACACGTTCGTAATACTTAGTACTTTTTCTTAGTACTAAGAAAAAGTAATTTATTGCGAACGTGCAATTTCGTGCCATTTTTTCAAACATAATTGCAAAATCAAGTAAAAATTATAATTACTGATCACAAAATCTTTAAATCGGACATCTTCAAACTAACTTTTAACATTTAGGATTTTAAAAAAGTTTGCAAGTTTTGATATAAAATCAAGTTTCACATGAATCCTGCATTTCTGGATGAATCTTTAGTGCAGTTAATATTTCAGCATAAAAAATCTGAAGACTTAATGCAACATTCTGTCGTTCTATGGGTTTTGGACAGATAGACATTTGATTCTAACTCAAACAGCATTTTTAAGTCAATCCACTTAACAGTTTTTTCAAGGCCACAGTCTAAATATTTCAACACTTGAATTTTTTCAGTTTACCAAATTTTTTCTAAGAGATTTGATTAGATGGACATTATCGTAGAGCAAAAAAATGTTTTCAATATCCTCCATGGACAATACAAAAAGAATTTTTTAAAGAATGCTTGATTTACTCTATTATTATCACACAAAATTGCAACAGTATTGCCATTACACGAAGAAACTAAATTTATCATATCAACAACTTGCTCATATTGAAAATTACTACTTAAATAATACACTGAGCTTTGTAAAGAAAATTTTTACCTCCAAATAATGAGCAAATCTTAAAACTTATTACAGTGGTTGCAAAATGTTCTGGATTATATACTGCTTTTCCAAATAAATTACCGCTATGATTTGTTAGTTGTGGTTTTTCATAAACTTCGTCAATTATAATAATGATATTTTTTTGACAAGGATCTTCAAGATGCATAAAATATTTGTTAAGGAAATCAACATCTTCTAATTTAGCAACGTTTGATATAAGTATACCAAATGTTACAACTTACTTGGCATTTCATAATCATCTTTAATACGATTTTAAAGAGATCTTAAAATTACAAAATACTCAAAAACCCTACTTAAAATTTCTGGTGAATATTTTTTATTACCAAAAATGTTAATACATGCATGCTAATAACTGGTTGGCTTTAATAATTTGTAAGTAAGATAAAACTTTATGTATTTGATTACTGCATAGTGGTTTAATCGGGCATCTAGATCCCCAATGAAAACCTTCAAATTTCATATTCATTTTAATTTTTAAAAGAAACTGACGAACGATAGAGGTATTAATAATTTTTACTTTGGATTATTAAACCATCATCTAATGTAAAGGATATTACTGGAAAAGTAATATTCTCTTTGCTTACTTTTTTGCAAAAGTCATTAAAACAATTAATTTTATACAAATCTAGTGATATAAAATTTCATCAGCATTTGTTACGAGATGATAATGATTTTGTTGTTGTTCTTTTTTTTGGTAGAGGTGTAGGAATTTGACTTAGTAATACACAGATAAAAATAGTTGGTGGATTTACAGGACGAAATTTTATATATATTGTACTTATTATATAATTATATATAAGTATATATTATACAATATATAATTATATAATAAGTACAATATATATAAGTACTTTTTTTTTTTTTTAAAGATTTAAATTAAAATAAACTCATAATAAAAAATAAACTCAAAATAAGTTCCGGATAAAAAATTAAACATAACAAGCAGCATAATAACTAAAATTGATAAGAAAAAAATCAAGTGTTTTTTTTAAATGTAATAAAGCATTTTTTAATAAATTGTTTGAGAAAGGTAAGAGTTATTTATATACATATAAACGATTAATATACATAAACGAGTCAGTTCACTTTGTAGTTGATATATATATATATATATATATTATATATATATATATATATATATATATATATATATATATATATATATATATATATATATATATATATATATATATATATAATTTAATTTATAGTCTTGGAAGAATTCAGAGTATCTGTTTAGATTCAGTATCAGATTTATATTATTAACAACATTAATATTGGAGGTAGGGTTCCAAAGGCCTGAAAATTTCTAATACCGGGATTGTAAAATCAAGACCCAGAACTTCCCGGATTTTAATATGCTTTAAAAATAGAAAATACCACATCTTAATTCTGTTTATTTTAGTAAAATTACTCGTATATTAAATAATCTAGTTTGTCTTTAGAAAATATGCTCGCAGAATGATAAAACTATCTAAACTTTGATCGTTTATTCTTCTTCGTATTTTACTTCAAAATAATCCTGCGATGAAAAATGTCGTTTCTGACTCTACGCTCGTTGGTTTAATCGTCATTAAAAATTAAAAACTTTCTGAAGAATATGCAATACTTAAAACTGTTGACATAGTGTTGAGTTTATGCTTACTAAATTAAAAAAACTAAATACTGCATTAAATTGTCAACTTTTTGATGCATTAACCTCCAGAATAAAAGAGCGAAGAACATAAGTAGTTTACTGCACTACCTACAAAATTAAAAAAGAAAAAAAAGTTGGACCTTCTATTATAATTAAATGTCACAAATTTAATTGTTCAATTCAAGATTTGTCAAGAGCAGAAATTATCATCGCAGAAAATAATGAAACTTATTTTGCTTACCAAGCAATATAAAACCTATCGGTGTGGTGTCTAAAAAAAAACCTAAGTGCGGTGTGAAAAAACCTAAAGGTGTGGTGCACCACATCTTTGGAATAAAATTGTTTTGCCGAATTTTGATTTTAAACTACCCTTACTTTTCGCTTTTTTAAAAGTAAGTTAAAGCAGGGAAGCACGTCAAAAGTCTTTATGTCCTCCCGACTAGATTTTATTTTATCATTACCAAAACGTTATGACGTCATCAAAACGTTTCAAGGACGATCTACACACACATCTGTGTATGCGCGCGAGTTGTCATATTTTGTTTTGTTACATTGCTTTTTAAATGCCAAATTTAAGAGACATTTTTTCCAGATAAAGAAAAATGAAAATTATTTTTAGCCGTAATAAATTTCTTTTTTCATCTCGAATAATAATATTAATAACAGTACAATTAATTACAACAACAATAATTATGATACGAATACTCAAGATGCATAAAACCGAGAAGATATATATTAGGAGAATAGCTAGATAAAATTTATTCTATTATATACAAATACAAACAGTCCAAAACCATTAGCATTAATAAATTAACAATAAATAAATAAATTTTCTATGGTTAAAAGCACAAGTCGAAATAAAAATAAAGCTTTCGCATTCAAACTGAATTGATTCACAGTAAAAATTGTCGATTAATTTTAGGTTTTTAAAACTTTTAAATCCATATCATATTTTAAACAAGTATCAATGTAAAACTCTCCAAACAACCATCTCCGACCAATTTATTTTATTTATTCTAACCGTTCTGCTGTTAACTGTTAAAATCAGTAAAACACAAAATAATAAAATTTCGTAGATTGCATAAGTAACCCTGTCACCTAAATTCAAAAGTCGACGGCGCATTGTCGGTGACGTGAACTAGTGTTAGCGATTGAAACCTAAAAAAAAAAGAGAATTTCATTTAAAACTAGAATTGACTTTTACTATCATATAACTAGCTATATATTATAACTAAATTTCTTCAACTATATAACGTTATTTATGTAATTTGGCTATGACCTTGCTCATGATTCTTGACCTTAACTTTCTTATCCTCCTTAACTATGCTTTAGCTTTACAACTAGCGGCTATAACATTCCTAATAACCTTTCATAGAGTCCTATCAAAACCAAAAAACTAACTAAGTTACCTTTTAATAACAAAAAAGATTTACTACATTTAATTTTTATTAAAAATATTTCCCTACAACTAAACGCTTTTAACGACAAACGTTGCCACACACCTGCGATCTAATAAATTACGCTGTTCTGTTTAAAAAAATGTTCAAGGTTTACAATCAAAAAAACGGATGCCATAATAAATATAGTCTCAATCTTTAATATGCTCCATTAAATCTCGAAACACCAAATAAACAAAAATTTTAAATTAACATATCTCAAAGTTCATTCGTATCTTTTACAATATATATTCTTTAAATCCATCAGCAAATCAATCCAATATAAATTTCACTTCGAGAAGACCGGTCTTATTGCAGAGTTACCGGTTACCTGTTTTATTGTAGAGCACCCTGGGAGAGTATTTAACTAGAAAGTTCATTCTTATCAAAGACATTTAATAACAGTTTATATTATAGTAAGGAACATGCTGATACATGTTAAAAATAATATTATAGGAGACAAGAGTTTCAAATTTAATTGTTTTATATAATGGCAATATAATTATGGCAATATAGCATTTATGAAAACAGCAAACAAAGGCAATAGATGCTTTTTATTATTTTAAATTCAATTTTTTTTTTCATCTTCACAATTTTATTACAAAAAGATTACAACATTACCGTTATAATAACAACGTTACAACAGCTACGAGTTGGCTGACTGACAATTATAATACAAAATGATAAAAAAAAATCTGGAGAATGACATAGATATTATCCATGTCATTATCTCCAGATTTTTAAATATATATTATCCATGTTATTATCTCCAGATGACATAGATATTATCCATGTCATTATCTCCAGATGACATAGATATTATCCATGTCATTATCTCCAGATGACATAGACATTATCCATGTCATTATCTCCAGATGACATAGATATTATCCATGTCATTATCATCAGATTTTTAAAAATATATCATCCATGTCATTATCTCCAGATTTTTAAAAATATATCATCCATGTCATTATCTCCAGATTTTTAAATATATATTATATATAATAAAAAGCGGAGATACCAGTTAACAAAAACAAACTAGTTTTATAAGCACAACTTACATTTCAGAGTTTCTGTGGTAGTAAAACCCTTCTATAGTTGCTGTTGATTTTTGAAAACAAATGTAATAAAATCCAGCAAACGAAGCACCATCGATATCTGTTATCTTGTGGTCTGGTAAAAGAAACCGCTCCTAAAGGTGATATTAAAAAAGGTGGTTTTAAAATCAAAAAACAAATTCAAAAAAATTAGAACATGTTAGACATCCTGTCTTAAAACTGTTGAACCATGGTCTACTTAATGCATAGCCAAATAGGTTGCATAAATAAGCCAAAAATAAGACAATTTTGTGTTTTAAATGTCAAATAACTTTAATAGAAAAGTTCAAATTTAATTATTTAGATAATTTTATATGCGTTATTTTAAAATTTTCCTAATATATCATTAAATTATCATAACATAAAAAAAATATAAACAATAAAAAATTACGTAAACAATAAAAAACTATGTATGAATCGGTAAATGCTAAAAGGGCAGAAGTCCAACTATGTAAATTTTCGGGAACCTAAAAAAAACTGCATTTTCCCCCGTAGTAAATTTTTTTAAATTGTTTAATAATTTTTTTTTTTTTAAAGGAGAAAAATATCCACTTCAAAAAAAAAAAAAAAAATTAAACAATTAACAAAAATTTACTACGGGGGAAAATGTAGTTTTTTTTAGTTTCCTGAAATTTTACATAGTTGGACTATGTAAAATTTCTTTTTACATAGTCCAACTATGTAAAAAGAAATTTTCCAACTATGTAAAAAACCGCTCTTTTAACATTCACCAATTCATATAAAATTAACAAAATCGTAATTCACAGTTAAGTGGAAATAAATATTTTATACAAGATCTTTGTGACTGCCGACATTTGTTCTTTGTATATAAAAAAATTTATTGCTGTTCAATAACTACAAAATGACAAGAAATAATCCTCACATATTCAGTCCTCGGAATTAGGGTCGGCATTCGGCAATGCCGACCTAACTGCCGACCTAGAAATGCAAAAAATCACCAACATTGTTTCTATGTTTAGTGGTAAAACCTTTGTATCAAATTTTTTTACCGACCTCATGCTGACCTCTAACAGAATAAGATTGGCAAATTATTTCCAACCTCATTTTTCTTAATTCCGAGGGCTGCATATATATATTTTGTATTTATGTCAATGGAATCACATCTAAGTGCATAGTTCACATTCTACTTTTTCTAGCAAATATTTTCAGCAATAAAAACTGCTACTACCTAATAACTTTTTTTAACTTTTTAATTCTAAGTATCACTATTAAAAAATACCAAAATTGAATTTAGATTCACATTTGAGTAAAAAGGTCTTAAACCTATCTTCTGAGGGTCTTTTCCAATAATAATCTCATTTGGGAAAATTTCTCACAAATTATTACTCCACGCTCCTTTTTTCATTTGGCAATGCTCTACAATTCTATTAGAATGTTGTAAATTTAAACCTGCATAATAGTGTTTCTTATAGCATTGTCAAAGCTATATCAGGCCCTTTGTTACACCTAAAATTTTCAAGAGTGAGGCAACTATCGTAGCTAATTGCTTAGGGTACCATACTTCTTATATACTATATAATGTATCTGAAATTACTAAAATGTCATAACCATCTAATTGTTTCAATCAATTTTTTAAATAATTGTAGTCTTGGAAACCACTTTTTGTTCGTGTAATCTTACCTCTAGCAAAATTCACTCTTTGTTAAGCTAATTTGAATTCGGCTGTTTTAACTATGGATCTCAGCTCGATTGTAATTATCCCTTGAGTTACTAAGACTCCAAAATTCAAATGCTTAGCCTGAACATAATCTTAGGTATGAAATCACCTATTTGTCAGGAAATTAGGTTTGAATTCTCGGGCCATTCTTTAACGAGCCTCTGCTTAGCACCTCTTCACTCTATCACCTTTTTCATAGTTTATAATTTTTATCTTTCTCTTTTTAAAACTGCTTTCTTTTCAATGTAAGTAAATTGACTAAACCCTTTCTCTTTATCTGTCAGCCAATAATGTTGCTATTATTGAGTTGAATGCTCATTACACTGATTGGTTAGGCTTTTGTACCACTGACCTTGCTGGCTACAAAGTTCAAACTTTTGAACAAATGTTCTCAAAAATTTTTAACAGTGCACAGTGGGCCAGATATTAGGTATATGGTGGACAAAATTATTTTGATCTTTTTTTTTTTCTTTTTTTTTTTACCAAAACCCTTTATATGCCCAAAGAATCACTCTGTATTAAGATATATTTACTTTTATTATAAATTTTAGAAATAAAAAATTTTTAACATACGTTATGAAACTTTTTAAAGTTTTATAACGCATGTTAAATATTTTTTAGTTTATAACTGGATTTATAATTTTTTTATTTCAAATCTTCTTAAAATCGTGGAACTGAGTAACAAACTCTTTGGTGGAATAAACCTAAAGCAACTAACTTAAAAAACAAAAATGCTTCAGAAAAAATAAAAAAATTTATCACTAGATTTGAAACTCTATTATCGATATTATTATATAATAGATTTGAAATATATAGATAAATATACAGAAATATTATTATTATTATTTTCTTAACCACCTACTGTAAATATTTTTACAAGGTATAAGTACACACGAAAAAAATTGTTTGAACTTTGAAAGGAAGAAAAGAAATCATTTTGGAATGTTTTTTTCTAGAGTTTGCTTGAAAATGTTTCTCTGTACTTTTATGTTCCACCAATCTAACAAGTATTTCAATTTTTTCTCAAACCAATATCTTTAGGGATTTTATACCCCCACCCCCACCACAAAACATATTCTATTTTTTTCATTCTTTAATTTTTCAAAACTTAGTCCACTAATATGGCACACCTGCTGGACATTTTTAAGCTGAGATTGAATAATATCATTTATCGATTTGTTATCCAAAAGACAAATAAATAAGTTCAGTTTATTTTGGTAAATACATTTTTGAATAAGTCTATAAATTATTTATCATCTCTATATATAATGCATTTTATTTATTTTTAATCAATTGATCGCACATTCTGGATAAATAATATTACAACATTTTTATAATTATAAAGTCTACATTAATTCTAAAGGTACTATGCAAATAATCAACAGGCATACTTCATTTGTCACTATTTTCATTTAAACTAACCTGTTTGCAAATACTATATCGTGTAGCATCAAAATCAGCCTTGCATCTAAACGTCAGTTTAGTTAATTCCGTAGCATTGTGATTAGCACAGTAGTTTGAATACCACATAGCTTTTTATTTGCCAGTCTTGTACTTAAACTCACTTCTTAGTTTCCATTAATAAATTTAAAAGTTACAGTTTACTAAAAGTTACTGCTATACATAAAAAATAAAAATTTCATGCTTTTTTTTAAAAAAAAGAAAGCGTGAGTAAATTTTTTTCTTTATACATGAAACCGCAACTGATTTTTGTGGTTTAAAAAAATTATACTCAAAACAATTTTCAATGAGAGTATTACAAATGTTCTATTATATGATTTTAAATATAATAAATATTTGAATAAATAATTTATTTTTTAGATTTTGACCAACACCTGGCCCACTCTGCATTGTCAAAGCAAGTCATTTTTTATCAATATCTTTCAATATCTTATCAATATAATTTGATTTTATTACTGATTATACTACTTTTTCACTCTCATCCTAAAGAAACAGGTTAATCAATCGTAAGACATCTAAATCATTACAGGTTCCGATGCTTAAGTCAATTGTGTAGCTAAATTTATTTCTCTCTTGAATTCATCTACAGCTAATGGTTTGGACAACGTGTTTCTAATCTATATTAATGATCTTCTTGACAAACTTACATCTAAAGTAGCTCTATATGCTGAGAGCACAATCATATGACATGACCAGTCATGACAAAAAGTGATTACTTTTTGATTGCTTAGAACAAGCAGCTGAACTTATGTGTGGTCTTCCTTAAGTGACTGAAATGGGGACTGAAATGGCTTTTGAAAAGTGAATTTTAAAATCTAAAATTTTACAAAAATTATGTTGTAAGTGAAAAGAATTTTTTTTTCCTATTAACTTTATGTTCACAATGTCTGGACTAATATTTTGTTAATAATCTATACTATTTTGGTTTTTAACCAAGTAAATTTCAACTCAATTTGTGGGGAGTAAACAAGTTTAAGCTCCTTACAAATCAAGTTAAAATTTTTTATAATAAAAATTAAACACCAATAGATTATTGAAAATTAAAAATTAGTTGAATATAATTTTTTTTTTATAATTGTAATAAAAAAGAAAAAAAACACTATTATTGCCCATTAGGGTGTGTCATTTAAAAAAAAATTGATTTCAAAAAAGTTATATTTAAGAAATATTAGGATTTTATAAATAAATAAAAAAAATAACTTTAAGTTTTGTTGAATTTTAGCGCTAGCTTTTTTTTTTTTTTTTTTTTTTTTTAACATCTTCACTTCCAACAAGGCTGCAAGCAACCACTATAAGAGTTGGAAGTTACTGGAAGAGAAAAGACTAAATCTGTAGAGCAAGATAACGATTGACTGATGACTTAAAAGATTGCAAATTATATGAATCAGGAAAGCAAGATGAAGGAAGCGAATTCCAAAGAACTGATGTTCGAGGAAAAAAACTAGAAGAATAAGAGTTTTTGAAGCACTTAGGAACAGTCACAGAAAAAGGATGAGACTTAATTGAATGGCGAGTAACACGAGAATGAATTTTAGTAGATGGCACAAGGGACGCTAGCTCTTTAGAGCAGTGCCCATTATAGTATTTGTAGAAAAGAGAAAGAGAAGCAACATTACGACGATGTGACAAAGGTTGGAGATTGGCTGCCAGAGCAGGTCCAACTATGTTTACAATTCGTTTTGGCACCTTGTCTAAAAGAGAAAGAGCATCATTAGAAGATCCGCCCTAGATGTGGCAACAGTATTCCATACAGGGACGGATTTGAGATTTATAGAGATAGAGAATAGAATCTGGAGTAAGAATTTTACATTTTTTTTAATTTTTAACTTTACTCTTCATGACTATTCTACAAACTACTTGGTGAGCACCCACAGAAAAATGTTTAGCTGTTTTTGAATAACTTTTTTCTGCCTAGAGTCGAACAGTTTTATTTTTAATTGTTTTAAGTACTCTATTTATTGGAAAGTTAAAAAAAATTTTGCTTATATGTGTTAAATACATAAGAATATCATTATAAAAACCCTTATATTTTGTACAAAATGCATATTATTTTTTATTATTATTTATATAGTAATTTTTACAAAGTACGTTGTAGGGCTTTTTGCACTTGAGACGGTTTGGCACCCTATTGTTAGATAGCCCTATAATTTTTGTAATTCTTATAACACGAGCTTTCTCATAAAATAAATTCATTTTAGGCACATATTTCTGTCTATAAAAATAAAAATTGTTATAACAACGAACATTATTTAAAAAAAACACTACTATTTTATTAAAATTATAAGTAATCTATTAAATATTAAGTGTTTATTAAATATAATAATAAAAAACATATATGTTGAATATCAAAACAACAACAGAATGTTATACTTTTTATGCTTAACAAAAAATAATAATTAAAAAATCACTATATTATTTAAGTATAGCTTAGAAGTTCCATCATGTCTTTCTTGCTCCTATTAGCAGACATCAACTCTCTGCTAATGAATTGGGCTCTTATGTAAACTTCTCTTCTTTCTGATGTGTGGACATGTTCTGCAGCTTCTGTGACAAGCTGTACACACTTCTCAACTGATTGTGTATGTGAACAATAATGGGGAACAACCATTGGGTTATTAACTAAATCTTTAATATCGGAAGATGTAAAATTGCATGTCAAAGGTGGTTCTGTTATATTATTGCTCCAGTCTATCAAACTAAAAAGATCTTTAGCATCAATGTTAATATCCGGTCTTCTTCGATGTCTATGGCTATAAACACAAGTATTAGTTTGCTCATGATATTTTTCATGAAGCTTAAGAATAATTTCCACAGCTCGAACTCCTCCTACTTTACTCTCACTGCATATCATAGCTTGTAAAACAGCTTCTGAATGTTAAACTAGTTTGGAATAAAAAAAACCTACAATAAATTCGACAATCCATGTTAGATTATGAAGGTTGGTGCCATGTAGGCCATGCTGAGAAGCCCATATCCTGCAAAATCTTAATGCTGTTGTGAGCCACCTGCTATGGCAAACAGGTCCTATCTCTAGTATTGCTAACTGCTGAGGTAAATCACCAGACCTTATTGCTTTTGTTATTCTGTAAGCATAGCTCTGATCAGATCTTAAACCTTTTACTACTTTAGGACTTAGAATAACTAATGCAGGCCCAACATAAATTTTTGTAAATCTGTGATTAATTTTAAGACTTGTTGCTGTATTTAAAGTTGTGTTCCTAAATTTCGTTCTACCAACCACGTGCATGTTTTCAATGATCAGTTTTATCAGGAACAAAATGAAAGAGATATTTACCACTTGGTTCAGTAACGACAGAATAATGTTCTTCCTTAAGAAGACCAGGGAAATACCTACCATCAAATTCCACTAATACTTTTGTATTATCTTTTCTGCCATTGAAAAAAATACAGGATACCACATTATTTTCAAGATCTTTATTAAATTTATTATCTTATTCGATTGTTAACTTCTCTTGCACCCTTTTAACCTTGCTGTGATCAATAATCATCGATGTATCATTCTTTGTTATAATTTTTGCATCTATAAGTGCTGCTGTCGCTATTTCTGTGGTATCTTGTAAGCTAGTGCGATGCCTCATACTAGCAAGTGCAATGTTTGTTATGCCCGTTCTGTTATAAACCTTTACAATATTATTGGAAGGTTCTGGTTCTCCAGAAATATTTGGTTCTGAGTCAACTTTGATTGTTTTTTCAATCTAAAAAAATTAATACAAGAACTAAACTTTGTGTCATAATCATTAAGTTAATGGTTTATGAAAAATCTAAAAAGTAAAAAAAAGATATTAAAATATTTTTATAAATTACCTTATCAACATTTAATTTCTTTACAGGATAAAATATCAACAAGTTTGTCAATTTTTGGAATGAAATTATCCTTTAATGATTTTTTTGCATTTCCAAGGCTAACTTTAACTGCAGTTTCCCACAGATACTTCAGTTTAGCTTTAATACTACATTCTTTTATTACTACTGGATGTAAAAACTTGCAATTAGCTTTTTTCCATTGAGCAGATAAAGCAAGTCATACCATTAACTAGTTTATCGACGGTATAGTTTCTTTTATTAAGGTCACTGGTCTCTCTTAAAAATAATCCATATCTTAAAATGTCCCTTGCAGTAGTGAGCTCAGATGGTAAAAGGTGTTTTCCTTTTCCAGCATATCTACCTAAGTGAGTAGCTGATAAATTTCTTGTGATTTTTGATGCCATTATTTTTATTAAAATATAACTTTTCAATAATCTAAGGAATTTTATTTTTAATTTATTTTTATTAAGCTAAGCGTTTAAGTTTTGAAAATATCTCCTAATAGGTCCGAAATAAATTTCTTTGACTTAAAGTTAAATTTTTAGAAACAAAATACGTTTTAAACAAAATACGTCATTGTTTTAACAATTTTCAAAATATTAGCTAACTAAATACATAAAAACCCAAAAAATGTAGCTACTGCTTAATTTAATTAATTTTTAAAAGTATTACTCCATTTCATTTATGAAATTCTATCATAATTTCACAATAAAATTTCTTTTTTTTAAAATTTTGAGTTTTGGTCATCAAATTGATACACCCTATTGCCCATACTTGGGGTAGGGAGCTAACATTTAAAGGATTGAACATTGTCATTTGTGATTGATATAAACATACCCAAATTTGGAGTCAAAAAATTACCATTGACTTTCCAAGCTGAGTCACCAGCAGTACTTTGTATATAAACAAAATAGAGCAAAATAACAATCAACAATTTTTTTAGCGTGATAATCATTTAAAAAAATATATACAATGCTACCTTACACTTTATGGACACTTGGGATAATTGTAAAGTTTTATTCTGCAATTTACAATTGTAAAGTTTTATTCTGCAAACTAATTTGTGCTAATACTAGTAAAAATTACTTTTAAATTTTTTTGGTATTTTTTAAAATTGAAAGTCTAAAAGATTAAAAGGTAACAATTTTTTATCATAAAATTTTCAAATATCGCAAATAAGAAAATTATGAAGCTTTAGTAGCTTTTCTAAAAATTTAGAAATATTCTTTCAATACACTCATCAAAAAAAAATTTTTTTATGAAACTTATATTTATAAGTTAATTATTGATTCAGAAAATAAACAATCATTTTTGAATTTTAATGAGGTCACTTTCGTTTCTGCTCCTTAACTAGTTTTAAAGACATTTTTGCCCGCCTCAAATAACCTATACAATCATTAAAAAAAATACAAAAAATATCTTCTCCTTAATCTCATAAGTTTTAAACAACTTTAAATAAGCCATAATCTTTTTCAAATGGTTATGTTAATGTTAAAGCCAACAAATTTTAATGTATTTTAACATTCTTTTATTTTGTCTTTAACAAAACTCCAGTTATATTAGTCCCTTAAATGACTTTAATTACATACGCACTTTAATAACACATCTTATTTAATAAATTGTATTTTTTTTTACCTTCCAGCGCATAAAAACAATGTCTGTTGTTTTCAAATATTCATAATCAAAATTGTCAGTATTAAACTTCTTTGCAAATTGAATAAATGGACCAAACTTTCCCTGCAAAAAAAATTGCAAATCAGAATTTAATAAATTATCAGAATTAAAAATTATTTAACTTTTGGTAAAACATTTAAGAAATTAATTAAAAAAAAACAGCAATAACAAATATTACTCCTACATTATCATACCAAATGTAACATCTATATAATTATAATACATTATTATATATTACCCAATGTTTTTTATCGACATCTTCATCAGCATCCTGAAATAATAAAAATCAAATGTCAAACTGAAAAATCATTTTATTGAAAAAAAAATAAATAATAAACAAAAAAACTTCTTAACAATTCTTCTCAGTAACGTAAACAAAATAAAAAATATTTAAATCATTTCTTTATAAAGTTGAAACTATTTATAAAGTATAAGTATAAGTATAAAAAAATATAAGCATGTTTATTATTATTATTATTATTATTATTATTATTATTATTATTAAATGTTTTAAAATTTTAAGACATAATAAAAAATACATACGATTATATGATTATAAAAAATATATATGATATATTTATATATATAGATAAATATATTTATATATAAAAACATATATGATATATTAATATATATATATATATATATATATATATATATATATATATATATATATAATATATATATATATATATATATATATATATATATAACTATAAAAAATATATATGATATATATATATATATATATATTAATACTTTACATAAAAAATCATTAGCAGTGATTTGTTACTTTATTTAAAAGCATTTCAATAATATAAAAACATAAGTTAAGTTCAAAGTTATTTAATTCAAATGGCTTTCAAAAAAGTTTGTCTTGTTTTTCTTCTCAACTAAACTTTTCTTCTTTTCGAGTGTATTAACTTTAATGATTCTTAGGGGCTGTTCATAAGGATAAAAATTGTATGTAAAACTTGTAAAACTGGTATTTCTCCAGAAAGTTACTGGGTTAAAAATATTAGATTGTCAAAGAATACATTTATGGACTTGGCCAAACAACTTAAACCCTACATAGCGCCTAATCTGATATCATCTAATTAAAGAGCTTTGAGCACAAAAAAGAAGCCTGCAATTACTCTATTATATCTTAAAGATACTGACTCTTTATTAATGACAGCCAACTGTTTTGGGATTGCAGTAAATACAGTCTCTTCAATTATTACACAAGTATGCAAAAACATTGTTTATCACTTAGGACTAATCTATATATCTTTACCGAAAATAAAAACCGAAATGAGACAAAAGGTCGCTGAGTTTGAATCTAAGTTTGGCATAATTCAAGCTTTTGGTTGTATAGACAGTACACATGAGCCAATAGTCTGCCCTGCTGTAACTCACAGGATTATTTTTGTTATAAACAATATTATTCCATGAATATTATTCCAAGCAGTATGTGATTATTAAGGAATGTTATGGATGTAGCCATACATGCATTTGGCCTGGAAGTGTTCATGATGGCAAAGTATTTGCAAACTCAACCATAAGCAGAAAACTATATGATGGTTCCTTACTAGGAACATTTCAATCAGTATTGCATGGATACAAAAAAAATGGAACATATATTATTGGTGATCCAGCCCACCCCCTAACTCCCTTTTGTATAAAAGAGTATAAATGTATAACTGTAGCAATAACGAGCAAGTAGTATTCAATAGCATGCTTCGATCAGCTCAAAATCCTATCCAATGTGCATATGGGAAATTAAAAGCTTGTTGGGTGATTCCAACAAAATAAATAGATTTGGAATAATAATTGGAATAAATAATTGGAACTTGTACAAACAAATATTTATGCTACATTTGTATTACATAATTTTTGAGAGAGAAACAAAACATTGATTGACATTGCAGTGTAAATAAGCAAGTTCAGCTATTTAAGGAGAATGAAAAAATTCATATAAATCAACTAAACCCAATATATTCTAACAATACAGCAGAAGGAGAGTATACAAGAACATTGCTTACATTTTACATTTCAAAATGTTTGCCAAATTAATAATAATACCCTTAGAGTATGAGTAATTTATGATGGTAAAATTACAGAAAATTTGAATAATTGATATACACTTGATAATTAAATTAAAATGTATTTTATTTATAAATAAATATATTGTTGTGTATATATATTGTTATTAGTCCGCTTCATTAGTTTTTAAATTTTGTAATTATCAAAATCTATATCATAAACAAACATAAAATCTTTGAATAGTAATGCGGTAAATAAGTATGTAAAATAACCATTACTAAACAACATTATTAAAACAAAATTATGGATGTGTTTCGTATTAGAAAAACTAACAATTATCTTTTAACACTCTCACATAGCAACAGCAGTTCTCTTTGGTTACAGAGCAAAAAAAAATATATATATATATATAAATGTGTATATAAAACAGTTTTTCTATTTTTTAAATTGCTAATTCTCAGGAGCTGGATAAGGATCTTGAAAATTTTTAGAGTATCTAGGTGCATTTAAATTGTAATAAGTTGGAATAGATTGGTGTTGTGGCAAATATTGTGGTTGAATTTGATTCGCCACTGCTAACATTTCAATTGAATAAAACACTCTATTTCCATATTAACCATGGAATGGCTTACTTGCTCTAGTGATTTAGTAAAGCTTTCACTTGATGTAAACCTTCATCACGTTTGATCAATGTAAACCTTCATCACGTTTGATCAATGTAAACCTTCATCACGTTTGATCAATGTAAACCTTCATCACATTTGATCAATGTAAACCTTCATCACGTTTGATCAATGTAAACCTTCATCACATTTGATCAATATAAACCTTCATCACGTTTGATCAATGTAAACCTTCATCACATTTGATCAATGTAAACCTTCATCACGTTTGATCAATGTAAACCTTCATCACGTTTGATCAATGTAAACCTTCATCACGTTTTGATCAATGTAAACCTTCATCACATTTGATCAATGTAAACCTTCATCACGTTTGATCAATGTAAACCTTCATCACATTTGATCAATGTAAACCTTCATCACGTTTGATCAATGTAAACCTTCATCACGTTTGATCAATGTAAACCTTCATCACATTTGATCAATGTAAACCTTCATCACGTTTCTTGTTTCAGAGAAACATTCTTATGGTGGCGTTAATAAGGGGTCAAGAGATTCTTCATAAATAACATTATATTCAGTTTCTTCATTATAACTGTTTATGTTTTCTTCCTCTATTTCACTACATTTTATGCCAAATGACAAAGATTTTATACTTGCTGAAAAAACCCAAATTTCAATGAACTTATCATAGAACGTGCATACAAATTTTCCACTTCCACTTATCGTTTCTAAAATGACAGCATTTAATTAGTTTTGTCGTATATCTTTGATTTTTTCAACAATTCTAGACTTTCCTTTTGTAATAAATTTTTTTTGTAATAAGTTTCTTTTTGATAAAATTTTATAATATTTTTCACCGTCCATATCACCTCTTGTTGTTCACCCTACAGGCCCAAACATCCATGTTTCACCATTGTTACAGTACAATTTTGCCATATCATACTTTAAATTTTTATACATTAATGGCTTATCGCCATCAAAATCTATTCTGCGGTAACATATTTGCAATTTGTAATTAGAAATAGCATCAATTAAATTTTGCATTACATTATTTGAAACATGAAACACTAACTATTAAAACTAACTATTTTATGACTTGAAAACAACCAAATGCATATTAAATTCTTTAATAAAACTGTCCAGTCTAGTGTGGGTGATTTTCAACTTGAGTTCATATAAAGATTTTTCACCCTTCTAGACTGGGATTCCGGAAGTCCATAGACAAAATCTTGTTATTTGAAACATAACATAACTTTAAAACCATGCTATAGTATGATAAAATGATTTTTTTTAAATAACTTTTTTGCTTTAAAGTATTTTTAAACAGTTAAAAAATAGAGCTATAGAGTTTAGCATGTGTTTTCATGACTTTTTTGCATTGTTTTTGACTTTCTTGCAGAATTGCATATATATATATATATATATATATATATATATATATATATATATATATATATATATATATATATATATATATATATATATATATATATATAATAAGTTTTAGTTAAACAGTTCTATTTTTTAAATCAACATACAGGGAGGAAAGTAAATGAAAATAAATGCAGCATTTAAAAAAAAGTTCTTCAAACTTTTCAGAAAAATTCAAAGATTCAGGCAAGACGAATTCCCTATCTATTTTGAATTAATTAGCCAAATAGCTTGAGAACTGAAGGATTTTCACAAGCATCAAAATTCTTGAAAGAAGCTACAGAAAGATCAAAACATACAAATAAATAAATATAAGAAAACAATATAAGAACTAAAGAGCCACAACAACAGATGTCAAGTGAAAATGTATAATAAATTCTGCTTTAACAGCAGAAGCAAAACTATTCAGATAAGAATATGAAGGTTTGAAGTTTTGTGATATCTAAATTATCATATATTTTTTTTAAACAAGAGTTTGTGCAATAAATTTTAATGTTTGATCTTTAGTTTTCTTTCTTTTTCTGAAAATTTAAAGTGCATAATTTACGAATTAAAGTACACAAAATATATTAGAAAATTGTGTTCTTAGACACATATTCCATATGTCTTTAGATACATATCTTTTGTGTGTATGTGTGTGTGTGTGTGTGTATATATATATATATATATATATTCATAATTTGTATATATATATATATATATATATATATATATATATATTCATAATTTGTATATATATATATATATATATATATTCATAATTTGTATATATATATATATATATATATATATATATATATATATATATATATATATATATATATATATATATATTTATATATATATATATATATATATATATATATATATATATATTTATAATTTGTATATATATATATATATATATATATATATATATATATATATATATATATATATATATATATATACTATGAAAAAAAAAGAGGAAACTAAACTATGAAAAAAAACATATTGTAAAATAATAAACTTACCCATTTTCTAGTTAGGAAGGGGTATTTTTGACTAATTATTTCACCATCAAAATATGTGACTAAAGTAGGGTACTCCTAAAAAAAATAAGAAACTTTATAAACTGTCAAACTAATAGTTTTTTATTTTTATATCTTAAAAAATATTATTAAAAAAAAAAACATTAACATAAAAGGTTTGCAAATTATGAAATTTGCTTTTAAATCATGGCAGACTCAATATCATAAAGAACTAGAAAAAGGAGCAAAGCAAAGCTTTTGGAGGTTATGGAACAGATCTTGTATCGGAGTTAACAACACTAAGAAATCTTTTTAGATATGCCCTGTTTTTACAAGAAAGAAACAATAAAAACAAAATACTTAATGAACGATATTTAATCAAAGTTGATTGGTAAATGGATCCACACAAATGCTTTATTTGTATATCCTGTAACACATATCGAACAGCAATATAATATTACTGCAAGTAATTAGTTCATTAGTAAATAAAAGTATTTGTGAATAATTGGAATAGCCAAATGGTTGCTATGGGAAAAGCAAACTTAAAGGATAGATTTATGGCTAAACTTGACAAACTGTTTGATATACTGGATAGTAATTACTAAACTATTACTTGTCAAGAGAAAACTGTTCGTCAGAATGTAAAAATTAAGCCAACATAAATTGCATGTGCGAAAAGGAAAAAAAAGATTCCACAGGAGTTAGTTTTTATACTTGGGCAAAGAGTTAAAATAGAAAATTTTAATTATATTACAAATATCTGCCTGTTTCAACTTAAAATTAACAAAATATAATTAAATTCAAGATAAATTTGACATACAACCATTTGTATTTTACTTATGTTAAGACATATAAAAAATATATTATTATAATTACTTGTACTTAAAGTATTTTACAAAACATTATTTAATAAAAATTCAACTACATTATCTATGAAGAACTGCAACAAACAATTAGAAGTCAGAGGAAAAGTTTGAACTTGAATTTAGAAAAACAGAGGAACTTTTTATGAATGTTGCATAACAAACAGCAATACTGAACTTAATCTAATAGGTTGACAAATAAAGTTTAGGAGCATTTACAAGGACAAAGGAATTATGAAAGTATTTCCAACAGCTTTCGCAAGCGTACGGTATGGTAATGGCTTATGGAAAACAGCTGTTATTGCAATGGCTGCTTGTATGGATGCAGGAATAAATAAAGAAGACAATACCAAGTAAGTTAGAAAACAGTAATTAATCATAACATGGTCAAGCGAGCTCAAGAAAAAGTTATGCAGTCTCTTTCTATAGAGTTTGACACTCAATGACTAAACTTATTGTGTGTTTTTTTTTAGATGGCAGAATTGATAATACAAAAGTTCAATTAATAGTTGAAACTAAATATTATCCTACTACAATCAAAGAAGAACATCATACAGTATGTCAAGAGCCCAGTTTGAAAACATACAAAACAGGCTAAAGTAACTGCTCAAAAAATATGTTTTTTTAAATAATGGTACTGGTAAAAGCTTAAAGACGATAGGTAGTGATTTTACTAGTGTTAATACAGGGTGGTCAGGCAGAGCAATGAATTGGCTGGAAGTGAAATTAGAAAGAAAGCTTATCTGACTGGTTTGAGCACATATTTCTAATTTGAAGACATACAAATGAAACTTCTCTGCTTCATCTGATGACAACTCTTAATGGAGAGACTCTGAGCAACAACAAATGGAGAGGAAAATTATTAAATGACGTAACTACTCTGAAAATTATTCTATCCTTTGAAAAAATTGATGTCAGAAATCCTTTCATTACTCCGAAGGATGAAGCAATCAAAACTTTATCTACCAATCAGTTTTATGAGTATAAATTAGTCTCTGCCATTAGAAGTGGAAATAAATCACAAACTTTCTGAGATTTTAAATGAATCCTAAATTACAATTCCTGGTAGCCTAATTATTTCAGATTTTTTAATCTAAGCTTTTTTTAGTATTATTACATAAAAATACAAGTTTTTAGAAAATAGAGTTTTCTAAAAACTTGTATTTTATCCAAAAGAAAAAAGTAGTATGACACCTAATATAAATATAAAATACCTAATATAAAATAACCATAAGTTAAGCTAAGAAAAAAATACACATAACAGAACTTTAAAAAACACCTAACCTCAAATAAGTTTAATTTTATTATTTTTTAAAAATAATAAAATTAAATTTAAAGAAACTGTTGTATATTTGATCTAAAATTTATATATTCAATATATATATATATATATATATATATATATATATATATATATATATATATATATATATATATATATATATATATATATAAAACTGTTTTTCAGATGATACTAAACATAATTTTAGTTGATAATAAAAATCATTTTGAAGCCATTTTGGAGAATTTTATTTTAATCATGACTTTATTATTTATTATTTAAATCAAAACTTTTAACAGGGGGGTTGAATCGGAGTTGGGGAGTTGCGACATTTTTAGCGAAGTCGGAGCTGCTAGGTGCATTTACAAAACATTCAATTAACCTTATGTTTTTACTAAACTTCAAAGAGACATTTATAAATTTGTCAAAAAAAAATTTTCAACTTATCGCGTAATATTTTTTTAAGAATTTCAAAAATTTCAAAAATTTTGCTTTGGAATTGGAGTTGTACTCAAACAATTTCAACAACTGGAGTCAGAGCCAGAGTCGTTACTTTTTTTTCACGACTCCACATTTTTATGGTTCTGTCATTTACATTTTTCCTCAAAGTAAATGCAAATTATGTAAAAAAAATGATTTAAGCATATTTTATTGTTGTCAGAAAAATACTTTTGACTTAACATATCATTGTTCAAAACAAACAGTAACAAGTATTACAGCAAATCACATTTTATTATTTGAAAAAAAAAATAATTAAAAAGTGCAATCACAGCAAATCAAAACAGCTTATTCAAAGGTCTTAGAAAAATCTTTGTCTTGAAGAAATCTTAGGCTTCATTTGCAGATTAGATAGATTTCAGTAACTCTCTAATTTTCACCTGGATAGTAAACGACTGGGGTTAATATTTGATCAGGGCTGGGTTTGATAAAATATAGCTGGGGCCGGGTTTGTGACCGGGGCTGCATAAACAATTATACACCCTAAAGTTTGTTTTTTTAATTCAAAATTCATGTTACATTTTGTATATATATATATATATATATATATATATATATATATATATATATATATATATATATATATATATATATATATATATATATATATATATATATATATATATACCTATATAAACATCATTATGATCAACATGATCATCATAATCATCATTACCATCATTATCAAGATCATGATAATCATCATCATTATCATCATCATAATCATCATCATCAGGCTTTACCTTTCCTCTTTTATGCTGTTTCTCTAATATAAACAATTTAGAATTTTCTTTCTTTAATTAAACCTTATTCATTCAATATATATAGATCATCCAGATCATATTTTAAAAATCCGGAAAATCGTTAAGGCAAATTATCCAGAAAAAACCCACAATATATTTTCCTCTATTTTCCACTTAATTTGGCTTTTAGCTGAGTTGTTTCTATATTTTTTTTCTTAATTTGTGTATGAGTGATGAGTGAAAAAGCTAAAAAACAAATACCTTACAAAAATATACACCTAAACATGTATGTATGGAAAAGGTTTTGGATATCTGGAAAAACTAAAAAAAGATTAAAATATCCCGAAATCAGGAAATATCCGGAAGAAGATAATCCCTGAATATATAAGGCGATCTCTTCAAGTTTTTTTAATTCTACCACTACCATTTTCTTTCTACCATTTTCTCCTGAAGCTTCTACCTCTCTACATGCTGACACCTAAATCATTTAAAAATTACTTAAATCAGATAAAACACTTTTTTCTAATTTGTCTAATGTCCTCTTTTCTTGTCGTGTTAGATCAGATGAATGTGTGGTTCACACATTCATCTGATCATCTTCTATTTTGGCAAATACCATTTAAGACCATTTAAATACTAGACCATTTAAATACTAAAGTTTATATAAATATGAAAGGATATTGTTTGCCAGCATCTAAATATATATACAGCAAAAGTATATGTTTATACTTATAATATGTATGCATAAAGCGCATCTTGGGAGGTTTTATTCCTTCTGGAATAAAAGCTTGGAAGCTTCTATTTCTTCTCTTAAATATTAAGTCAAGCCTCATTCTACTCCACATTTTTCGCCATCTTGAGCAGTAGCTTTATTAAACAGTAATCATTTTTTTTATCTTTTTTACAGAGAAATCTCATTTTATTGGTGCAAGAAGCCTATGTAAAAAAGTCCTGTCTGATGTAACTTTAAGGGTACCACAAAGTTCTATCTTTGCTCCTGTAATGTTTCTTATCTACAATAACAATCTTCATGAAAATTTTACATCTAAAGTACAAGTTGAGGACTCAGCTTTATACTCTTGTCTTGACAAAAAATCTTTACTTTTTGATTGCTTAGAAAAAGCGCCAGTTTCTAATCTGATCTCTCTTCTGTAAAAGCCTAAGGTTTGCAGTGGCTTGTGGATTTAAATTTTTCAAGGCAACAAAACTCATTTATTTACTGCAAAAAAAATATTGCAGTATTGTAGGCATTCCTAAATTGACTAATAACAACCATCTTACTCTCAGACATAGTCTAAAAGCACATTGTAAATGTAGTTAGCCCTGCTTTATCTGCCAAGCTGGAACCACTCTCCCGTTATTGTAAGGTTGCATTTCTTTCTTTTTTCTACAAACACTATCATAGCCAATGTTCAAACAAGCTATCATCACTATTACGATAAACCAAAACTCATTCTTACTAGGTTTCTTATTCAACAAGTTGCATCCTTTTACTGTATCTGTCCCTTTATGCTATAAAAACTTTTATTAATTGAGTTTTTTGTCCTTGCACATCAAAAAAGCTTTTTAACTCTTCCCAATCTTGGTGTTTTCATTTTTAATACATCCTGCAACTTTTAAAGTCTTCAATTAACCATTTTCTAATATTTTAACGTATCCTCTATTATTAAGTTATTCAGAACTTAAATCTTG